GTTATATTCATTCAATGCCTTTTTAGCTCAGCTGACAATTTTGTCAAGCTGTTAACTTTGTTGTTTTTTTTAGCTCCGCTGTTGACTTGTCTACTTTATCATATGAGGGATTGTCCGTCGTCCGTGTCAACGTTTTACTTTTTCGACTTCTTCTTGAGAACTACAAGCCTGAATGTTCATTTTGTGATGATATCTTCAATTCTCCTAATTTTAATGAATATTTTTGGTAAAAAGTGATATTTTCAACTTCTTGTTAAAAACCGCAAGTCTGATTGCTTTTATACTATTATACATACATATTGTTCTTTTTCTAATGATATCGTCAGTTCTTTAATTGAAATGTGCACTGCTAACAGCGGAGCTATCTCAGCCAACAGGCTGCTTGTTTACACTCCTAGTTCTCATGGAATAAATAAAAAAAATTACACAACTTTCAATTCTGTGAGAGATAAAATTTAACTGAGAACTTTAAATTTAGCTGTCAACTTTTCACCTGCCTATTATTCCAAATTTTTTGCACAGATTTTAATCAAAAACTTCAACAAAAAATGATAAAAAATACTTAAAAATGTGTCAATTGTTTCCACAGAATTATGTTATTTTAAAATTTACTCCCCACAAGTGTCATTAATAAAATAGTAAATTGTGAACACTTTTAAATACTACTGTTTTGTCATTTACACATCTGATTTTGCAATATTCAGAATGAAATCAAAATGCAAAGCTAATAAATCTGGTGAATAACCAACTCTGGTGAATAACCAACATTCGGCAAATTGGGTTTCGTCAAAAAAGAACACAGTGAATAGCCATTTAAATTATTCATGGGAGTTTAAAAACTGAGAGCCTACCGATCTTCACCCACCAAAAGTGTAATCGTTCCCTTAACTAAACTGTTGCTCTTCAAAAGTATAATGTTCTGTCTCTTTTACCCTTCCCAAAGTACTGAAAACTGTTTATATTCACTGCCATTTAATTTTTTGATGTTTTGAGCAATTTTATTAGGTTTTAAGTTCTTTGCAGAGAAACAATAATTTCTATTGTTATTTTACATGCTCACATGAATTTAATTTAGAAAATTTTACTTGTCTGTGAAAATAATGAAATTAAAACCCATGGAAAAATTAATGTATTTACAGTGTCATTAATAAAAAAGCAAATTGAGAACATTTTCAAATACCATAAAAAATTTCACCTACTCTAAAAATTCAACCACCTAATTATTTGGTATTTTTTGTTATTTATTGACCTCAAAAATTTCGACCTCACCGGAAATTGCTCACTTATTTTTACTCCAAAATTTTTTTTAGAGACGTGACCCTCTATATTGACGTAGGAAAGTGTGTGTAATTTTGTTTGACGTTTAATTTGCGATGCAACTGTATATAACCCAACTTTTATATTTCTTGAATTTAAAAATTCGACTGACCAAATATTTATCTTTATTTTGTATTCTAAAAACCTGACTGTTTTTCAAAACACATAATTTAAAAGTGGTCGGAATTTTAGAGTTTTTACGGCACTATGGGATTTATTTAGTCTGTCATTTTTAGTACTGAAAAACACTTTATTTTCGCTTGGGATTAATTTATGCTATTTTCACTGAAGGGGTGATTCAGTGAAAATAAAATGCAGCTAAAATGAAGTATTTTACAGTAATACATTTACACATCAGTTTATCATTCCTTGCTTATAATCTTAATATGGTTGGTGTTTTTAAGAGTGTCACTTTGTTGTTTGCTTTGGTAGCATCACAGGAAGGTTGGCATCCAGTCTGATCAACACATTTATTAGGATACTCATTTCCATGGTAACTGTACTGAAGCGTATCACTGGAAGTAATTGATAATTTGAGTTTCATTATCCTTGTGGTCGCATTGTAAGATAATGACGTATGTTTTGTTGTGGATATCACATACTCAATGACTGGCCAAGTTTAATTTCTGTGGTCAACAAGTCAAACTCAGTGATCATTTGAACAACATAGAATCTGCTAAAATTAACTTCAGTGAATTTTTTTCCTTCTACAGTGTGTCTCAGTTCAGTAATTATTTTAATTTCATGAGAGAGAAATTGTCAAGGGTCATTGAAAGTTGTGGAATAAGCAATTTCTCTGGGTTTCTAAATACAGAGTCAGGCGACTTTTACAAAATAATGCAGCCCTTAAAATTTTATTTTTCCCTAATGGCTATTGGCAGCCAAGTTCAAATTGTAGTTAACTCGAAAATTTAGTAACCAAGTACAAGATTGGTGGTCACAGGATTTTAGTATCATGTTTTACAAGTACATAATAAACAACCCAAAAAACCAATGATGTAAAAATTCAGATATCTATTCAAGCATATACGATTCTCCAGCAGACTGCATTTTATTTTCTACATTAGATTGTTGACTGTAACATATTGCCAGACACAAGATGAGGTTCGCTCACAGTATCTGCATTAACTTTGAATGCCAGTTTTCCTCCAAAATTTTGATGGCCCATCTTGCACATATTTATATATTTCTCGATAATTCCTATATTTTTAAACAAACAGTATATAATATCCCATTCGCTACTTTTGAAACAAATGTGGTGAAAATTATGTAGTATTTTCACCAGACATGAGACATTTTCATCATGGTTTGAATTTTTTCTCAGCTTTTTAGCTTCGCTGTCGACTTTGTCGAGCGGAGCTTATCATATGAGTGATTGTCCGTTGTCGTCTGCGTCCGTCGTCCATGTCAATGTTTTACTTTTTCGACTTCTTCTTGAAAACTACGAGCCTGAATGCTTTGATACTTGGTGTATATGTACCTTGGGTAGACCTCTCTCAGATTTGTTCATTTCATGATCATATCTTCAATTCTCTAATTTTGGTGAATATTTTTGTAATTTTTGGC